CGCTCTCTCTCTCTCTCTCTGTCTTTCTCTCTCGCTCACTCTCTCCCTCCATCTATTTATCTATCCATCTATCTATCTGTCCATATATCTATACACTATCATATCTATGTATACTCAGTAGTCCTTAATGGGTTATTTTGGGTACGTGTTTTACGGCGCCGCTCGCAACTGCGTAAGGCAGGCCATATGAGCGCGCGGGACACACCAAACATTTTTCAGTTGGTAGGACATTTTGAAATTTGCTTACTCTTATCGATTTTGGACCACTAAGGGAACTTTAACGTACTCAACTTGGACTCTGGACCTTCGATATTTTTCGCCATTGTCCGAGAAGGCTAGGTGTAGATCTTTCTTACCAGAAGATCAGGGGTGGGACTGAAAGACTGCAGTAAGAAATAGCCATGGAGAACCTTTAGAAAGGCTGCAGAAAGAGTCAAGAGCACTGAGAAGGGGGCAAATGAGGTGAAGGGTTGGGGGTAGAAAGTGGAGACGAAAGCAGACAACAGAACATTGCTAGAGAGCAGGAAAGGATGTGAAAGAAGACAATTTTAGAGAAGAAAATTGTTAATCGCTGTCCAGATTTGAACCCGGGGACCTATTGAATGAGAGGCGAACGCCTTAACCTTTAGGCCACGAGAGCCCGTCGGTATGTCTGTAGGAAATAACAAATACCTCGTAGCTATAAAAGAATCTAGAAACTATTCTGTGTTGACAAAACAATTACGCGCCGCCCTTCCCACAGTGCACAGCGCAGTTTGTCCAATCAGAATTGGGCTACCAAGCTATATTTAGCGCGACTAGAAACATAGAGAGAAAATAAGTACAAAGTAAATAAGAAAAACTCCGTAGTTTCTGACTCAAAAGGCAGCACACCTTCCTCATCCATCACACTGGATAGATAGGTAGATGAATTGACCGCATTGCAACAGTCAACAGTGAATGCTGGACTACAGTGGTGGGCAAAATCCGGATAATCTATCCGGATAACCGGATAATTCTCAATGAAATACATGTAGTATCCAAATTCGTACTTTTAAACTCTCTTTCCTAATTACCCGTTTGCCGAAGTGGGTGCTCCCATTATTTTGTTGAAGTAGTTCTAATCCGTATGTCGAAGTGGTTCTAACCAATTTACCGAAGCGGTTCATAACGCATTTAATTGCCGAAGAGGTGCATTAACATATGTGTTGCAGCGTGGTGGAATCAGGTTCTCGTCAATTTTTGGGCATGTAGAGTTATTGGTCTCATCTTAAAGATTGTTCTCTTGTCTTTATTTGGATGAAAAAAATATCCATTTATCTTGAATGCAAGTCGAGATATTTGCGAATGAAGGAGGCGGGGGTTTTCAGGGGTAAAATTAGTGAGAAAATGGCAGGCAAAGATTAGTTATTCACTTAGCTAAAGAGTCCTTGGTAACTGAATATTTACTTTTTTCTGCTTTTAGTCAACGTTTTTCAGAAAAATCCATACAGAAATGAGTTCTTAAATGGGTATGAAAGGTGTTGACCGAAAAAACAAAAATTTGATAAAAATTCGCATACCAACAGAAAAAGCAAGTTTCTTCACTTTGATTATTTTGACGAGAGCCTGATTCCACCACACTGCCTCACATATTATCCGAATTTTGCTTATGCGACTCCTTGCAACGGTGAGTGCTGGATGGTGCGAGGTATTTAGGGGTAGTGGTAGTCAATGGGGAGTTCCCGTAAGAGATTCCACACACCAGATATACCGTGAAATTTGGTGGAAAACATGGCGTGTGTGTGTGTGTGTGTGTGTGTGTGTGTGTGTGTGTGTGTGTGTGTGTGTGTGTGTGTGTTGTGTTAGTGTATCTGTGTGTCTGTACGAGAAAATAGGTGCCAAACTTTAGCCACTTACAAAGCTTGAGTACCCTTGAAAGCTGCAAGTTTACACATTTTGTGCCTTTGACAAACGTTTTTCCAATAAAATCCCATCAAAATGTTTTTAAAAAATATATAGACATCAAAGGTGTGGGGCTAAAACCAAACGAATTTTTAAAGAAAGAAAAACAAAAAAAACAACTTCCCAGTGGCCATAAACATGCCTGTTTCTTTGACTTCATTATCCTGACCAGCACATTATTTCACCACGATACCTTACAATTGATCACTTTTAAGGACAAGCTGGCTAACCCAGATTTCGGGGGTTTCCAGAAATCTTGACCTACACCAAAAGTGGGCATTGCCCTACC